GTTATTGTTATTAATAACAAAAAATAACAATAACTTCTCACCCCTAGAAATAACTATGAAAATAAACTTTATGAAATTATCAACCTTTATTAATTTTATTTCATTTATAAGAGAATTTTTTCACCAGTACGTTGATTTGGAAAAGAGAAAAGTGTATATAAGAGCAAAAACTTGGATCTTATCAGACAAAAACCAACGAATGACTCTTGAACGTCAAAGAAAAACCTCCTGATTTAGAAAAATAATTCTCCTGAAAAACTCCTGATTTTTTTACAAAAAAACTACTGATTTCTAAAATTTGAATTTGGTAAGCCTAGGCCCGCCCGGTCCGGAATAAAAATCTCCCTGGTTGGGGCGGACCGGTTGGCTCGTTTCGAGGCCTGATTCATAGTTCATTAATACTTCTTAAAAAAAAATACTGGTCGACCTTGAGATATCAATTATTACGTTTCTTCTGTTTATATCACTAACATTAAAAGAAATAATGTCATTGGATAATATACCATTTAAAACATTGTCATAAGCACTCGAAGCTCATATAGATATAGTTGGCTACAGATCACTCTTTGTTTACATATAAACGAACTTTCGTTGAGGTTCAGAACTTATAGGACATTCTTTAGGGGGTATCAAATTTGAACTACCACAGACCATGACAAACGTTGTTGATATACGATCAAAGACCGTGTATCAATAATGTCTCGTTACTACTTCCTTATTGTATTTCTCGAGGATTAAGTAAAACAATAGGAAAGAAATGTGTTCCAAAATAGATAGAATAAAGTAATCTCCCTATAATTAGCAGTAACAGCTACATTGTATTTCACATTTTAATTCCGCAAGGATTGCGTTAATAATTTTTTGTTTTTAGGGGTGAACCAAAAACTTGGTATGGTGTACCAGGTTCAAGTGCTGAAAAATTAGAAAATTGTATGAAATCATATGCTCCAGAATTATTTTCTAAAACACCTGATCTTCTTCATCATCTTGTTACAACAATGAATCCATCAGTATTAATACGTGATGGAGTACCAGTTATTAAAACACATCAACATGCTGAAAAATTTGTTATAACATTTCCTCGTGCTTATCATGCAGGTTTTAATCAAGGTTTTAATTTTGCTGAAGCAAATAATTTTTGTCCAACTGATTGGGTAAATTTTTTTAGATAAATATTTTTCAGAGATATTTATTTTACATATATTTTAGCTTCCGATGGGTCGTTGTGCAATAGATCATTATAAAGAAATGAAACGTTATAGTGTATTTTCACATGATGAATTAATATATAAACTTGCATCAGAATGTCAATATCTTGATCCAGATATAGGTGATGCAACAAAATTTGAACTTGATTATATTGTTAAACAAGAAAAACATAGTCGAAAATTAGCGTATGAAAAAATTTGTTAATAAAAAAATTTTTTTTTCGAAAAATTGTTTTGTTTTTCAAAGGGAGTAACAGATACTGATCGAGTTTGTTTTGAATTAATGCCTGATGATGAAAGACAATGTGATGCTTGTAAAACAACATGTTTCTTATCAGCTATATCTTGTTTATGTAAACCAAGTATGTTTATTTATTTTTATAATATATCTTTTTTTGTTTTTTTGACGAATTAACAATTTTAGATATTCTTGTTTGCATAAATCATGTTGATCAATTATGTTCATGTTCACCAAAAAAATATTGTTTATGGTATCGTTATACAATTGATGAAATGTCAAATATGCTTGATGCATTACGTGAACGTCTTGATCTTTGTCAAAAATGGAAAATACTTGTTAATCGACTTATTTCAAATGATCATCAAAATCTTATCGGTAGGAAATGATAAATCAATGATGTTTCGTTTTTTTTTCGATATAAAGAATGATAGTCTTTTTTGTAAATTAAAACCGAAAACAATTTTACCTTTAGTTTTCAGAGATAGATGGAGGACAATGTGCATTTTCGAACGAGTAAATAGCGGAATTCTGGAATTCTATAGAATCTGAAATTCAGGATTCCGTTAGATTTCGCTATTTCCTGAGCTTAGTCATTCCGAAAACTAATTTCAGAAAAAAACTATACATTCAAATTAAAAGACTTCTTCAATAATCGATACTAGACAATATGCAGTTTCAGAATATCTACTTGATGCATCTACCAGGTCGTTTAATTTTCTCATCGATATCAGTGTTTCCAAGCTAATTTTTGAAATCTAGTTGTTCCACTCTGCTGAACAATTCGTAACAAAAATTTTTACGTTGTTAGATGGAGCATGTCTCAAAATATATGTATGTACGGCTAGTTGAATCGATGAAAGAGTAACTTTCATTTTTTTACCTAATGTCCTCCTGAATGCACACTATAGAGGGCGAAGAATGATTGAGTGCTAGAAAAAAGAGCGTCGCGCTCCACATAAGTTATACCTTTGCTTGGTTTTGATTAGTCATAGAATACGATTTCAAGTTTTTGTATGATAGATTTTAATGATATTGAAAAACATACGACATCTGGTGTATTATGTTTACGTGATGATATTCGTATAAAAATGGAAGAAAAATTAGCTGAAGCTATTGAATATCGACAAATGGCAAAAAATATTTTAAAACGTATAACATGCAAGTAAGAATAAAATCATAACATTATTTAATAGATGAAATAATTTATTTTATTCTAGAGATGAATTAATAGAAAATAATAATAATGATGATGATTTAAATAAAAAGAAAAAAAATTTTAATGATGAAAATAAAGTTACATTAAATGATATAAATCAATTAAAAAAATCGAGTAAAATCAACTGGTATTACATTTAATGAAATGAAAACTAATCAAGTAATATATATATACCCCTGGAAAGTAAAAGCTGGACATGGTATTTCGAATCTATTTACGCTCGAGAAGGACATTTTGGAAAACTTAATTATACCATTTGATAGCCCTTGGAATTCTCTATCACCCTGTCTATTTTTGTCTTCGTTTACAGTTAAACATTACCAAAATAAATTGAGTGCAATGAAGGTACCCTTATGTCCAGATTCTCACAGATTGGATTTTGTCTCCTCAACTAGTTCTCCAGCTATAGAAATACATTTCCAAAAAAGTAATTGTATATTCTGATAGAGCTTGAAATTCTCTATCAGTCCATATATTTATCAGGCATCGGATTGGACCCATAAAATATAGGATTGTGTGATCACATAATATGTGAATTATCTAGATAGTTCACATATTATGTGATC